ATGGAGGAAGGGAGGAGGAAGGCGAGGCCGGCCGGCCACGAGCGCGAGCAGAGAGGGCGGGCACCGCGGCCTCCTCACAGGGCGGCGAGAGGAGCCGTCGCGGCCGGCCGCAGCCTCATACCCCGCTCCCGCGCCCGATCCCGCTGGCTGCCTCCGCCGCGCCCGCTCCCCACCCCAGCTCGCCTCCTGTCAGGCAGCTCTGCCACTGCGGTGACTCGGCAACTCCACTTCCGGGTCCGGGACACCGCCCGCCACGCCGGGCCGCATAATTCATGAGGGGGGCAGCACCCCACCGCCCACCTCCCGCCTCCGCAGGATTCTGGAGCGCCGGGAGGGGCTGCCTCAGCTCCACATTATTCATGAGGGGGCGGGACGACTGGCGCCCCGCCCACTCCGGATAATTCCCACCTCCCTCCCCAAAGTGGAGGGGGGTGTTGCCCGTGGATGACCGCTTCGGTGGAACGAGATGCGCCTGCGCCCGGGCTTCGGGTCCGTTCCCAAGGTAACGGCGTCAGGATCCAGCCCACCATGAAGCTTTCTTTTCTCACACCAGCAAAGAACAAATGGGAAAGTGGAGAAAAAAGAGAGAGGAAAAAACCCAACTGCGGCAATGAATCCCACCCCCACCCCCGAATGGTCACGTGACAGGCATGCCTCGAAGCGGGGAGGAGGGGTCGCGAGACTTCCGGTGCGTCACCTGGGTAACGGACGTACACTTCCTGCCCGCAGGGTTTAAGTCGGAATCCTAAGCTTCCAGAAGCTACCTGTTGCGACCACGATGGCCCCGAAAACTGCGGCCCGTAGAATGGTAAATCTCCTCTCATCAATTCTAATACGTCTGCCCCTTTATTCCCATTTCTGAACTGAGCATTCCCCAAGACCCTATGACCAGTCACTCCGCTGACCTTCGGCTGCCTCACCAGTGTCGGTCAACAAGAAATTATTGAATGCCTACCGTGTGCCCAGCGCTGCTCTAAGTGGAGATGTTATAACCTCACTGCCTTTGCCCCTGAGCAGCTATTTAGGGCGATAGCAATGCAGGATGTAATATAATGAAGTACTAAATTGGTACACACTGTAAGTGCTATTGGAGATGAAAGAAGAAAGATCCAGGTGGGCAACAGAAATCAGAGGAGGCATCCTAAGGAAATTTGTAACTGTAGTTCCTTATTTATTAAGTGTTACTTAGAATAGGGAGTAAGAACTGCTGAGCTGTGAGAGCAGCTTATTTAAAAAAAAAAAA